TTAATAAATAAATAAATAAATAAATAAATAAATAAATAAATAAATAAATAAATAAATAAATAATAATAAATAAATATAAATAAAATAAATAAATAAATAAATGCTTAATTAATTAATTAATTCGGTTGGCGGCAGTTAAATTGACGAACGGGGCGTTGCCAGCAGCCTTAGCAGCAGCAGCAGCAGCAGCAGCAGCAGTATAAATAAATAAATAAATAAATAAATAAATAAATAAATAAATAATAAATAATAAATAAATAAATAAATAATAAATAAATAAATAAATGCTTAATTAATTAATTAATTCGATTAGCGGCAGTTAAATTGACGAACGGGGCGTTGCCAGCAGCCTTAGCAGCAGCAGCAGCAGCAGCAGCAGCAGCAGCTGCAGCAGCAGCAGCTGCAGCAGCAGCAGCTGCAGCTGCAGCAGCTGCTGCTGCTGCTGCATTAAAGACCAAAGCGCAAGCAGCTACAGCGCGCTGCAGAAGTCCGCAGGCTCTGGGACACCGCGGTTGCCGAGGTGGCAGAGCTCAGGGTTTAGGGTTTAGGGTTTAGGGTTTAGGGTTTAGGGTTTAGGGTTTAGGGTTTAGGGTTTAGGGTGGGGGTTTAGGGTTTAGGGTTTAGGGTTTAGGGTTTAGGGTTTAGGGTTTAGGGTTTAGGGTTTAGGGTTTATGCAGGGCGCGGGAAACACCCCCGCGTTGGTGAACAGTTTGTTGACTTCGCTGTGCAACATTTCGCCCTTCTTTAGGGTTTAGGGTTTAGGGTTTAGGGTTTTAGGGTTTAGGGTTTAGGGTTTAGGGTTTAGGGTTTAGGGGGGTTTAGGGTTTAGGGTTTAGGGTTTAGGGTTTAGGGTTTAGGGTTTAGGGTTTAGGGTTTAGGGTTTATGCAGGGCGCGGGAAACACCCCCGCGTTGGTGAACAGTTTGTTGACTTCGCTGTGCAACATTTCGCCCTTCTTTAGGGTTTAGGGTTTAGGGTTTAGGGTTTTAGGGTTTAGGGTTTAGGGTTTAGGGTTTAGGGTTTAGACCACTGCGAGAATAGTGACTGCGAAGGCCTCCAGGTGGCGCTTCACGAGGGGCAGTTTGGAAGACAGCGCAGAGTGTCTTCATTTTGCTGGCAACAACGCGGGTGGGAGGTGTGGGCCTCAGCTTGACAGCAGCAAATCGAATTGTCATTTTTGAACCTGATTGGAACCCCATGACAGATTCGCAGGTCCGTTTGCTGCTGCTGCTGCTGCTGCTGCTGTTGCTGCTGCTGCTTTATGCTAGTGCTGCTGCTGCTGCTGCTGCTTCTGTTGCTGCGGATTGCTGCTGCGGCTTGCTCCTACTGCCGCTGTTGCTGCTGCACCCGTACAGCCACTGCCGATGCTGCTGCTGCTGCAGCCCTCTCGCGGCTTCTGCTGCTGCTGCTGCTGCTGCTGCTGCCCCCTCACAGCCTCTGCTGCTGCTGCTGCTGCTGCTGCTGCTACCCCCTCACAGCCTCTGCTGCTGCCGCTGCTTCTGCAGCTCCCTCACAGCCTCTGCGATTGCCGCTGCAGCCCCCCCATAGCCCCTGCTGCACCGACTGCTGCTGCTGCTGCTGCTGCTGCTGCTGCTGCTGCTGCTGCTGCTGCTTAGGCTCGCGAGCGCTCGTGGCGGTTGGGGCAGCAGCGGCCAGTTTTTGTTTATCGCCTTTTAGCTGCGAATACACTCGAAGTGAAAATTTACCAAAGACAACTTTTTAAGGGTTTTCTGTCTTCGAGGATTTTAGACAAGTGCAAACAACCCAACAAGTTCAAGTGGAAAGACATTCACGTCTGCAAACCCTAAACCCTAAACCCTAAACCCTAAACCCTAAACCCTAAACCCTAA